CATCCCATCCCATCCCATCCCATCTCCATCCTCATCCCCATTCCCATCCCATCCCCGTACCGTGTCGGAGGTGAAGTGCTCGGGGTTGAACACAGCTCCCTCAGGGTGGCTGTGTCTGTACCAGCCCGGGGATGAGCCCAGCTCCTCGGGATGCCTCGGGGACAGACAGAGAGGTCCCCCATGCTCATAGGAGCCCACGGGTGAGTAGTCCTCCTCGGGATAAGCCTCCAGCTCATCTGGAGACAGGTCAGGATAGTCTGTTTCTGGAGTAGGAGGCTGGAGAGAAGAGCCAGGTCAAGATCTTGTGCCCTACCAAGAGCATCCGCATCTCTAAACCACGGCCAGCCCAGGGGAGGGGGCTGCCCACCTCCGTCACCTCCATCTCCATCCCCACCTTCATCTCTGTCTCCATCTCCATTCCCATCCCTGTCTCCATTTCCACCTCCATCTTTATCTCCATCTCCAGCTCATCTCCATTTCCAGCCCCATCCCTATCCCTGTTTCCATCCCCATCTCCATCTTCCTCTCCATCCCCATCCCCTGTCTCCACCTACATCCTCATCCCCATCCCCTGTCTCCATCTCCATCTCCATCCCCATCCCCATCCTTGTCCTCATCTCCACTTCCATCTCCATCCCCGTCCCCATTTCCATCCCCATCCCCATCCCCATCCTTGTCCCCATCTCCATCTCCATTCCTGTCCTCATCCCCCCACCTTTGCCCCCATCCCCATGTCCATGTCCACGTCCCCGTCCATGTCCATCTCCATCCCTGTCCCCATTTCCATCTCCATCTCCATCCCCGCCCCCATCCCTGTCCCCATCTCCATCATTTCCATCTCCATCTCCATCCCTGTCCCCATCTTCATCCCCATCCCTGTCCCCATCTCCATCTCCATCTCCATCTCCATCCCCGTCCCCATCCCTGTCCCCATCTTCATCCCCATCCTTGTCCCCATCTCCATCTCCATTCCTGTCCTCATCCCCATCCCCATCTTTGTCCCCATCCCCATGTCCATGTCCACGTCCATGTCCATCTCCATCCCTGTCCCCATTTCCATCTCCATCTCTGTCTCATCTCCATCTCTATCCCCATCCCCATCATCACCCCCGCATCTGGCCGGGCGCTCACCCTCTGCTCCATGGGACCGTACCGCGTCACCCCAGGGTACATATCCTGGGGGGTGCCTGCGTCTCCCGTGGGGGGCGGGTCCCACGACGTCTCACCTGTCACCGAATTATAGAAAAAAGCCTGTCCGCTGCCTTCGTCCACGTACCGCTCCCACGGGGACAACTCCGGGCTGTGGGCGAGCGAGCAGACAGGAGAGGCGGCCGGACTCACTCCATCTTCTGTCCCAAAGGGACAATCCCACGTGGTCTCGCCCGTCACCGGGTTATAATAAAACAACTGTCCGCTGCCCGTGTCCGTGTGGGTTTCCCAGTCCGACACCGAGCTGCCCAGCTCCTCTGGGGCCGAGCTGGCGGCTGCGGCTTCTTCCTGCAGCTGCTGGATGTTGAGGTAGATGGGGGTGGGCTGCTCCTCCGGCTCCTTGCGTGCCTGGGGGGGACACGGGGGTCACCGGGTGCTGTGGGTGGCGTTGGGTGCGGGGGGTCCTGGGGACGGTGCTCCCCTCCATGGTACCTGGGCTGGATGGGTCAGGGTGTCCAGGATGCTGGGGCACCCTTGGATGGTGGGCGGTGGATTGGGGCACCCACAGCACCCACATTGGGGCAGGGAGCACCCAGTGCCCGGGGAACTCTGGCCTGAGCATGTGGAGAGAGTTTGGGCATCGTGGTCCTCGGTGTCAGCACCCACAGCAGTGGGACCCATGTCACCCACTGTG